AAAACTGAAGTCAATTTATACTACCAAATAACAGAACCTCTTTTCTTGCTACTCCCAAAACAACATTAAAGCACTCAATCTCCTTACTACAAAGACCACATTTTTATCAAACCACAGTGAGTCCTCACAGTCACAGCAACCTTGGTGTTATTATTCTGTGGCATAGTGGGTAATATAATGGCTATTATCAAAACCCCAGAGCTAAGAACAAGTCAACACTCAACAGGAGCACAGAAAGATCATCAAATTAAACGTCTGCAATCCATTATTTGTATGCGGGGAAATGAAAAGTAAAGAAAATAACTTGAGAAGGAGAACGTAAAAGGGTGGGGAGAATCTTACAAGATTAGAAAGCCTCTGGAGTCCAAATTTCTTGCACCAAAGTGTGATTTGAGTCTGGGAAACGGAGGATGAGGCCGAAAGTCCAAGAAACTACGGACTTTCCTGCTCATCGTTGAATGTTGACGGAGACTTTGTCAACGTATATGAATAAGCCTATATTTATATTATAGATTCACATTGGAAGGTGAATTTTTACTAAACATTCATTTTTAATATATATAATATTCTTTTTAATGTATTAAATGTTCGTTTTAACTAATATATATATATATATATATATATATATATATATATATATATATATATATATATATATAACTTACACTATATAAAATTGAATGATACAATGAACATTTAATATACAAAAATACAATAAACATTATATTGGTGGTTCACCTTATAATATAGACCATAATTCATAGACTAGGGTATAATGATTGTTGATTTCTTTCTTAGCATTTAGTTGTTCGTCATGTGACAAAGGTAATTTATTGGTTGTCACCTTAAAAGTCTTGTTTCAGTGATAAAAATTCACTAGGAGACTCAAAGTATAAAAAATTGATCAAATGAAGACTCTTTGTGTTTAGAGTGTACATATAGTATGAAAATTGAGGACTTATTATTTACCTTCTTTAGCACTTTTGGATAGAAATTTTGAAATTTTAAAATTAGTATGACGTAAGTTAAAAATTTTAATATTAAAAAAAAAAATTAGTGGTTGACTGGTTGTCGGAGAGCAATGGAAATGGGCCGATCTAAGGCCATCCACACTAGTGGATATTGTGGGGAGAATTCAGAATTAAATCTTCCCTTCATGAGATAATAGCTAGTGTGGACATGAGATAATTGAAAAATAATCTCCCTGCAAATGTAGGGAGATTGTCAGAAAAAAAAAAAAAAAAAAAAAAAAAAAAAAAAGAGAAAGAAGAAGAAGCAAGGCTTTGCGCGTTCGCGCACAGCCTTGGGCAAAAGCCGGGCGCGTGCACTGCACGCGCCCGGAGGCGCGTCAGGCGCGCCTGACGCGTCTGACTACTTTCTTTTTTTTTTTAATTTTTTTTTTGTTTTGTTTTGTTTTTTCTTTTTTTTTTTCTCTCCTCTCCCACACTCTCTTTCCTAATCACTCTTACATTATCTCCCCATTCTTCCCAACCAATGTGGATGCTCTAATGCCTGTTAGGGCATTGGACAGAATGTTTCTCTCCCTTGTGCCCATGTAATCAATAGTTATGTCATGTATCTAGGTCCACCTTATAAAGTGGATTCAGTTAAATTTATAATTTATATACTGAATGTTCTTAATTCACATACTGTATGTTCACAATTTAAATTATAAACGTACAGTATGTAAATTGTGAATATTTAGTATATAAAATTGTAAGCATTCAATATATAAATTATAAACATTTAATATATACATTGGGAACATTCATTCAATATGTTAATTGTGAACATTCAGTATGTAAATTGTGAACATTTAGTATATAAAAATTATGAACATTCAGTATGTAAATTGTGAACATACAGCATATAAATTGTGTATTTTGAATCCGAATCCACCTTACAAGATGGACCCGGACCCACGGAATAATTTGCCCCATGTAATGCTCCTTGTGTGTATAAATTTCAAAATATAATATTAAAATATTTTATGACGTTATCATATATAACGTGTTTATTGGGGATATAGGTTACGGTCGATACTTGGAGCCCAATAAAAGGAGGACGGCAAATTATACCATTAACCATGGTTTAGCTGTTTTTATAATTGACATATTCTATACGACTGTACCTACAATTAATAGTTTATGTACATTTAGCTATCATATTATGCGTCAACAATTATCTAAAAATAATATTCAGATTCTGTATCTATTATTAACACATTATGTATCTACAGTTGATAGTTTTTGTACATATAGCTATCATATTATGTGTCAGCAATTATCAAGTTATTTGTTTACATATACATAAACTGTTAATTGTAGATACAAAATGTGTTACTTGAAAGTACAGAATTTTTGTATCAGGTTCACAATGCAATATGAACTCTCATCCATCGTATAACAATTGAAGGAGGACCCTCTAGAATGGAGAATGAAGTCCATTTTTAGAGGAATGGAGTAGAAAGAATCTAGTAGAGGACATATGGTGGACCACGAAGCGACAACGTGACACAAGGATAGTTGTTACGACTTGCAGAGATAGTGGCACAAAAAGGGTAGACCACAATTTGACCAATATGATTATTACTTTGTCTATTAATTAGACTGGTGCAGTGTAACCGATGATTAATCTAAGTATAGTATAAATTTAAATGTATTTCATGTAGTTAAGATCTACTCACAATACTCGAATCTAACATTCTAACCAAGAACATAAAGAATAACTCTAATTGGTGTAATATTTCCCGTGTATCCTTCTTGGGAATTCGCGTTGCTTATATATTTTGTTTATATTATAGCAAACGAATCGACACTAACAATAATAATATGAAATTTATTAACATTCAACTATTATGTGACTCATGTATTATAAAGTCTGGTCTAGTAATAATAATAGACTAATAGTCATTTAAAGTAATAGAGATTTGAGTTGAATTTAGAGTGAAGTTTCCTAATCCCCTCGGGCTCTCGTTTAAAGTGAGCATTATAACTTTATAGGGATATAGTGATGCGTTACATAAAGTCATAAAGCATCTCTATATTCCATCAATATGAGAGAATTAATCAATTTTGATAGAACATGTTTTCATATTTTAAAGGTTATTGTTGGGACTCGAACTCGTGATCTCTGATACCACTGGTTAGGATTAAACGTTTACCACTTACACAAAAAATTATAACTAATAGTGAATGCGCAACTTTATTTCTTTATAAACAGCCATCACATTGTTCGAGACACTGAATGTTAGACTTGATCCTAAAGCTTTTACTGTCGTCCTCCGCCCAATAATCCTCTAGTCACCGAGTGCTAGACTAAATCTTTTACTAACCTCCGCCCAACAATATAACATGGAGGGGTTACCAAAGATATATATATATATATATATATATATATATATATATATATAAAAGACAAAACAACTACCATTACTTGCAAGCACACATTAGTATAACCATTTAACCCAATCATCTTGGGGCTTAACCCATTTCAATAGCCTATTTGAAATAAGTTCGATTGTTCATAGCTACATCATATAATGAGTGTTATATTAGAAGTGACCATGAGTCAATTAGGACAAGACCAATCGCAAGCCTCCTATAAAAAGGCTCAAACCGAGTTTAAACTTAAAATTTTAGCTTCTTCTACATTATATAATAGTTTTTGTAAAAATAAATAAATAAATAACATTTTTCCTACACCAATTAAAATCTTGTAGATTTACAATCACTTTATGTTTTTCAATCAAAGCTATAATAAAGGTTCATAATGATATAAATATACCGTCAAGCGTCAATGAATCAATGCTAATAATGATTACTCAATATTCATTGACCAATAATAATCACGTGACAAGCAATGACCAATGACATAAAATTTCTTCCTAGCATATACTATAATTATTACTTGTGTACAACTTGATATTCTTTTGTTTTTTTGGGTCTAAGATGACATCTCTCAAATTTAAATCATATCTCATATGTACTCCAAAAAAAAAAAACCATATATCATATATTAAGTGTGGATATTATCTAACTTCTTTTCTTTTAGTTATTTTTGTTGCAAAATTTTCTGTACAAATTTATTTTTTATAATAAAAAATAAGAAAATATCATTGATTACCCCTACACACATAATTCATTATTATTGTATCATCAGTCACTGCTGGAAATCTCGCTATTTCCGTCCAACATTTCCGTCCAACCGTAAGTTGGTCGGTATTTTAATAAAAAATTCAACTTTCTATCGCAAAAGAAGGGTGGACGGAAAGTTGGTCGGAAGTTCCGTCCAACATTCACGCGTTGGACGGAAAATCCGTTCAACATCCGGTGTTGGAAGGAAATTCTGTCCAACCTGTAGTGTTGGTTGGTAAACTCAAATTGATTAATAAGTAGAAATTAAAAATGGTAAGAATTTTAATTTCCGTCCAACATATTATTGAACGGAAATTTAGGAAATAAATAAAAATAAAACCCTAGACGTATAGTACCCTCCAAACACAGATCTAAGCTCTTCTCTATCTCTAAGCTCTGGCGATTGACGACTATTATTAGGGTTTCAAATTACCCTTCGTCTTCAGCAGTTCATATCGTTGCGACTTCACCACTCCAAAACCCTCGCTCCACCGTCTCCAGCCCACGCGAAAACAACCCCAGCACCCCACTACCGCAGCTCTCCATTCTCCCTCGCTGTCATTCCCACAGCGCCGTCGTCGGTCGTTGTCCCCACAGTAGTCGTCGTCGCTCGTCGTCATCCTCTTCTCGTCGCACAACCGGTCCAGACGGAGGACCGAAGCTCACGCTCTATCCAAACCTTCCTTTGTCTGTTTCATTGGCGGCCTCTACTGCTAAGGTGAGACTTTTTTTTTTTTTTTTTTTTTTTTTTTTTTTGTTCTGCTTTTCTAGGGTTTCTGTTTCAGTTTTATTTATCTTTTTATTTTTGAGTTTTGTTATTACTGTTTTATTTTATTTTATTTTTGCTCTTTAGTTTAATTCGATGTTGCCGATATATTTGATTTTGGTGTCGCTTATTGATATCAAATTTGATGTTGCTGATTTATATTAGTTTTGGTGTTGCTGATCGATTTTATTGTTGATGTTGCTGATCTATTTTGTGTTTTTTTTTTCTGATGTTCAGATCTAATCGTTAAAGTCTGCTATCACCATTCTGATTGAATATAAACCAACCTAGAGTTTACCTTAGATAAACCAGCTTGATTCCTGAATTGGGGATTTAGAATTTTACAAATAATTTTCCATGCTTCCTTTATGAAATCTGTTCTAATGCGTCGAATCCGTATCCTCCACTCTTTCTCTGTTGTATTTCTTTACTGGTTCTATGTGTTTTCATGAATTGCCTCCTCATTAGTGTTCCTGCCTTCCATTCTGCTATCTGCAAAATCCTAATTCCCATTCTCAAACTTATTGGTTAGACTTCTGAGCCAGGCTTCATAATTTTTCTCAAACCTTTAATTAATGGGGTTGGGTGCAGTTGTGACAGTGAAAGACCCCAGGGAAGCACAGATTATTCTTGGTGGGGTGGAAGAAGGTGGGTTTGATGTTGTTATTGCAGATGTGCACATGCCTGAGATGAATGGATTTCAATTGCAGCAGCAAATCACCACTCACTTTCAACTGCCTGTTATTTGTGAGCTAGTTTTTAATAACTCTCTTTTATATATATATATATATATATATATATATATATATATATATATATATATATATATATATATATATATATATATATATATATATATATATATATATATACTTTAAGATTTGGACTAGCTATTGCTATTTGAACACTGTTAAACCAAAATATGTTTCATTGATCAATACTTTATGCTCAAAACAAATATGTTGAATTTGTAATTCTTTAAAGATGAAATTTCTACTCGTATCCAGCTTCTGTCCTCTTAACTTTTTATATAATTTTGCATGCTACATACTGTGAAAAGGAGGCCAAATTATTACATGACTACTATTCTTTCTTTCTTTTTTTTGGTGAGAACATGACTACTATTCTATTTCTATGCATTTTGAGATGGAGGTCTTTTAACACTTCATATTTGCTCATCACCCACAGACTCTAGCTTTGCTATTAAGTGTGGTGGTCAAGAAATAACATCGTTTAACCAGATAGTGTATGAGAGGGATAATGAGACTCTTGGTTCGGCAACATATTACATGACAAGCACAGGCAGGTGGGCTGTTAGTAATGTTGGACTGCCCTTTGATAGCAGTTGGGCTGTTAGTAATGTTGGACTCACCTTTATTTATCTCTATTTTTAACAACCCTTTTGTTTTACTGAGAAATGGGAATTAAGCAGATAAAAAGAAAGAATGTTGTTGTAGTAATTTGTTTAGGTCCTTATTCAAGTTTAAAATTTCTCCCATTTTCATGGCGGTGTGCTTGTGTAAGTTAGTTCTCTTATGCTGATGTTGTGTCCATTAGTTCTCTTATCATTGCAAATAATACTTGATGAAATGTTTATCTCAGGTTGCTTATGATGATTTTGTTGATGTTGGATCATTTGCAGTTGCAAGAGAGAAAATACTTCTAAGTTTGTTTTTCCAAGTGTTGTTTATGTTTTCTGTATGATTTTTGCATTTTGAAATCTATCACGGTCTAATTTTGGAGAAGGTCTACATTTGATCAAAGTCATTGAAGAAGGTTGTGGATGCTACATTGATCAAAGCCATTGAAGTAGTGTCGGATTTGAAGGCTTATTTAGGTGCAGCATACTTAAGTAGTATCAATTAAGTAGTATATATTTTCATGACTTTTTTTTTATGAACATGACAATAATTTTTGTTGTAAAGAATTTTGATGTTTAAATATATTTTCAATTTGAAATTTAGTGTGTTCAATAATTTGTTGATGACATATAATTTATTTACAATAGATATAAATAAAATTTTGGTAATATAAAAATAATAAAAACATTACATATGATTTAAGATTTTCCTACCAACCGTTGGAAGGAAAATTACAAAATATAATAAGATTTCTGACCAACGCACATAATTGGACGGAATTTCCGACCAACGCACAAGGTTGGATGGAAATTCCCACGTTTTAAAAATGGTGGGGTACTTGCCGGAATTTCCGTCCAATTGTTGTTCGTTGGACGCTATTTCTGACCAAAAGTCGTAGTTGGACGGAATTTCCCACGGAGGTTTTTCCGAACGTTCATTTTGGTCGGTATATTGGACGGAAACATCGTTTCCGACCAATATATCGCGTTTTCCGTCCAATATTTGTTGGACGGAAAACGCGAGATTTCCAGCAGTGAGTTAAGAATATTTCAAGGTTTAAAGTTTAAACTATTAAATATTCTTAAGTTTGAACTATGTGTGATGGGGTGTGAACCCCGTGGGCTCGGGGCCCAAGAAGAAAAGAGATCAAGCCCAAAAAGAAGAAGCAAAGCCCAAGAGAAAAATGGAGTAAGCCCAAAAGAGATACGGGCCAAGCTGAGGAGTCGGCTCGATCCGGGAGTCGGCGCGAGTGTGGGGATCGGCACGGATAGAGGGTCGGCCTAAAACTAGCCGTTAGCCCCTATTAAATTCCTAATTATCTACCCTTAAAGTCCTATTTACTACCCCACCATTCCTAAACTCCCACTTATTACCCCATATTATTATTATTATTATCCATAACCCCCTAACATAAACCCTTACTTACTACCCTAATTATCACCCATCAATACCCTACTAAATGGTCCAACGGACACTTTTGGGATGGGCTAGCTATAAAAAGGAGGGGAAGACAAGAAGAAAGGGACCATTCACTCACTCATATACACATGGGAGGACTCTCCCAAGCACTCTTCCTACACACTTAAGGACTACTATCACTCTCCCATAACTACTTTCCCAAGAAGGCCTCATTCCACAATACACCAAGAAGGCTCCACCGCTCTTCCACGCACGAAGAAGACTCCACATGAGAAGACTCCGCCACCATTCCATCAAGAAGCATACTCCATCTCTCAATGTACAAAGTATAACTCTCTCCCTACACAATATTTCCATATTACATATAGAGAATAGCCCTACAAGTAAGTACAAAAGACACCTACAAAATGCATAGTGGAATTAGGCTTGGCACGGCCCAAAAAGGCCCGTGGTTTTCCTTTCGGTTTCCACGTCAAAATCATCGAGCCCATATTATTTTAGCAAGCTTTATTGAAAGGTGTATCCTCCAGCTAAAGGTTGTGTTGGACCTTCTTGGGCCCGAAAACCCAAAAACCATCAATGTGCTCTAACACGACTGATAAAGAAAGTAAATCATTGGATGTACTACAACTGGCTTACAGAGTTACAGGTCCCTAAATGTTTATACACTAGTGCATGCCCTTAACAAAGGCAAAACATACCTCACTTTTTTATATTTAAAAAACAAATCTTCCAATGGCACCAAGTTGAACTCCCATATGGAAGGTTGTGGGTTCGAGTTTCAGTGGAGACGTTATTGACTCTCTATGCTTCAGTAAGTTGAGAAAGTAGTCGGCTACTGACTCTATATGCTTTAGTAGATTGAGAAAGTAGTTATGAACAGATACAACATTGTAATAGAGTTAATAGCATTCAAAAAAAAAAAAAAAAAAAAAAAAAAAAAAAAAAAAAAAACCTGAACCATGCACATTGCAGTTGTTAGCAAAATAAAACTTCTCAATTTATTTTGATTTGATTGGCCAATTGAGTTGTGTCTTGGTGGCGAATATTAAACATTCATGACCCATTTGGTTCATTTAATATTTCTAAGATTTGAGTAAAATGAATTCATTGATCTCCTAGGTATTTCATTTTTCACACTTTTTGAATGAGAAAATATACCATGTAAATTTTTATATTATCATTATATATGTTTATTATGTAGGAACATTTGAGTCACCTAATATTAACATTAATCAACTTTGGATTTTGATGAATTAATAATTGGAGGCAGTTTTAGTTAGGCTTAGAATTTGTAGATAAACAATAAGGGGAAAAAATGCGGTTTCGATTTCATATTATAAATTAAAAGTTTATAATAATTATAAAATTGATTATATATATATATATATATATATATATATATATATATATATATTTACTAAAATCATCGATCATTGATAAAATTAAAATTGATGAACAATTGTGATTAATCATATTTCTTTTATTGGAAGGATTGTTTCATCAGAATCCATGTATATAATCAACTCATATAAACAAATAAAAAAAGAAGTCTAAAAATTAAAAATATGAAAATCAAATCATTGATGCATTATTGCATCCATTGTGACATTGCATAGGCAATCAAATAGGTGGGGATTACAATATCAAATTAAATAGATAAAGATTTTCCATGAGTCAGACGGCAGATGGTCTCCAACTACTTAGACTCTATATTTATTGTGACCACACAAAATAATAATAATAATAATAATAATAATAATAATAATAATAATAATAATAATAATAATAATAATAATAAACATGCATCTAGGATTTAGCTCACTGGTTCAATGGGCAAATATATGAGAGAATAACCGCCCTTGCTTCGACCCATTTGTCTCAGCAGTATTCGGTAGCGGGGAGTGAAGTAGGTCATCACTATCAGTAGTCACGCAAAAAGTAGCAACGACGCCCTTTGGCGAAGGGTCTTCCAAGCCCTGAGATCGCGGAGTGCTGCGCGCTTCATTAATAGGAGTTATACACTGACTAGAGCAGCGAGGAGCTACAAAAGAAAAGAGCTCACTTTCTCCTCGTTGGGGCGTAGCGGTAGCATTCTCACTCAAGAAGGTTTGTCAGGACAGGAAGAGCTAACCCAAAAGACAAAGAGCAACAAAAGAGGCCGGGTCTTTCCCCTGCTTGCTCTGGTTATAAGCGGTTAAGGTAAAGGGCAACCAACTTTCAATCATACTTCTCATTTTGCCTTGCTCATGGCACTTCTTTCTTCGTCACTCGCCCTTCCTCACAACATAAGGTTTAGTGCCCTCCCGTTCGATTAGCTCTCTCGCAACAAACAGAGGAACCGAGAATGAATATGCGCTTATGTGCTGCGCTTCGACTTAGTCCTCTAACTCTAACCTTTAGTCGACCAACCACCATCTCCTTCCTAGGAAACCATTTGCCTTTTCATTCCTTTCCTAGATAAGCTATCCTCTCTAGGCGGACCTACCTTTATCAATGAAGGGGCCCGTTGTACTCTTTCCCATTTTTTTTTAGTTTATAGCTCCTGGAACTAGCACACCATGGGTCGGGCTCTCGATCAGCATAACTTCAACCCCAATAGTGTGGAGATTACGCTCAAAGTGGATAGAGATACTCTGTGGGCCGGAGTGTGAGAAGCCTTTAGGATTGGAGACGATAAAAAAATAATAAACATATTCCAATTGCATTTTTTTTAGGAGAATTCTTATCATATATTCAGATTTTATTTAAAAATAAAAAATGAAAATATAGTCTATCTTTCTGCTTTCAATTTATCATATTATATCACATTAATTTAAAAGTCAAGGATTCTATGGTGTAGTGGTTAGCACTTTGGAATTTGAATCCAGCGACCTGGGTTCGACTCTCAGTAGGACCTTTAATTATTCTCAACCCTTAAGAGATGTCGGGAGTTTGAACTTTCTCCCTTATGGAAAAAATTAAAAAATTGAAGAGAAAATTTAAAATTCATGTAATAGTATCTAAAAATAATAAATAGATATAAATTAATAGGGAAGTGGGAGACAGGAAATTTAAGGTCAAAAGCCCTTCACCTACAAAAAATGAGTTATTGGTTTAAAGAGCCAAGTTAAAGTTAAAAATCTAAGCATTACTCAAAAGTCATACCAAATCATTTTCTTTAACCTCCATAATCATTAGGTGCACATGCTAGTGTGATGTTTATCCCTACTCTGCGATACAGCTATCTCCTACTTCAAATTCTTTTCTTCTTGACACAAAGATTATATATAAATTTTAAATTTAAAAACAAAAAAAAAAAAAAAAAAAAAAAAACACATAAATCAATCTTTTTAAATGACCCTTCACTTGTGACTTGTGAGGTTTTCCAAAGCTCTAAATTAGAAATGATGGAAAAAGAAAAAAAATTATAAATATGGAAAATGATGAAATTTACTTTTTATCATAGATATTCTGTCTGATGCACTCTAAATGACCTGCCAAACAACTATAAACTAGCATAAGTCGTTTATTAGTAACCGGTTTAATTTGAGAAGATCAATTGGCAGTTCTCAATAATTTAAAAAGAAGAATAAATAATTTTTATAAAGAGTCGAACTTGAAACTTTATAGTTACTAAACAAATTGCCCAACTAACCTTACTATACTATGCTTTTATTATTTTTATTTTCCTAAACCATTTTAGACACAAAAACGAGGTGAGAATTGAAAGGTATTTGTTATGCATCATGCGACGGCTGCCTGTCTAATACGGCAACGTAAAAGTTGGAGTTGGGCCAACATGCTAGATTTTGTCTGGATAGAGAGTTGACCGTTTCATCATGCCAACTATACATCTTAGGTAGCTATTCAATTCTCATATCATCATATTTTTCCATGTGCAATTCAATTCATTTATTATGTTTTGCGACGTTAGTTATGGATAATTCAGTACCCAGCTCAATTGGTCAATTAACTTAAAATAAATTTATAATTTGTTTCTTTTGTTTTGTTAGCAATTTCGTGTCGGGTTTGATTGTTATCAAGACAAAAAAAAAAAAAATATAGATCAGTTGAGACACATCTCATAATTTACTTTATTTACTAGTTTTCAGGATATGAGCGTTGAAGTGTCTT